ACTTACTCTTACTTGGCATTAAAATCTTGAATCATGTCTCTGGTAATAGGGTCTACAGTATTGGTAAGAGCAGGTTTTTTTAACCACTGCACAATCATGCCAGGAGACACTGGAAAGCTAAACTTTAAGTGGTAGCGTTATGAGACTTATAATTTGATTCTGGCACCGTAATAATTATCTGTATACTTGCCACTTCTCTGCACTTTAATAGTTCCTTTTACCTGCAAAATGGTAGTAATACCTGCCAGTAAACCCAGCCTACAAGGTACTTTTGAAATGCAACTGAGCACAAATCGTAAGTAATCAATGTGACAATATATTATACTGCACCCCATGATGTGGAATACAGACTCTGCATTGTCACAAAGTTAAACAATGCCTGTGCTATCAGTCCAACTGTCTGGGTTGTCTCCTCCCTGGAATGGGGGTGGGGGTGGGGTGGAGCAGAGAGGGACTAAAGGTTCCCTAATGTCGCTTAGTTTTCCTTTAGAGCACAAGTTCTCTTATTCCAGAGTTCTATTCCCCTACTCCCAGGAAAGCCAAGAAATATATGAATTTCTTTTTAGTAAAAGGAACAAAATCAAAATCAAGGAAACTCATAGAAAACTCTGCAAACAAGAAGATAAGTTACATTTTCATGATTTTTTACAGGCAAATTGAATACCGTACCATGTAAAGTCTAACAAAGAAACTGATGTCTGTCAGTTAAACATAGGTGGTGACATCGAGCTGCCATTCTAATGCCAAAAGTTTTATGGGGTTTAATCTGAGATGGAAAGTGTCACTGTCACAGCCTTGCCTCAAACTAAAGCTGTTGATTTAATCAAAAACAATTTTCAAGGTGTGTTGACAAATTCTGTCCTCCTTTCTTACACTGAAATGACAATTGAGGAATGAATGGACTTCAATAACCTTTGAAGTCACTTTCAACCTCTAGATTGATTCTACTTAATAAAGTTACCTACAGTTGTTTAACTAGGCTGTGGCAGCCATGTGGCATTTGGCCCATGTACCTCTTTACCTCTAAATACATCTTGTAAAATACTGACAGATTAAAATCTCACTCTTGATACTATTTATCCATTTCTTAAAATGGTTAATCATCAAACACCCACACCTTATTAAAGTATAAATAATTTCCAAAGTGCAAGGCTAACATCAGATTTGCTTTCACTATGAAACAGAGATGCCATTTTACCTCATGTAAATTCTGCACTATAACCCCACTTAAAAACTGCCTCCAGTTTTTATACTAAGAGTTAGGAAGAGTTTTAAATATTTAACAATGATAGCATTCAAGTTCCCCATTAAAAACTTCAAAACTCAAGGGTCCTTTCTATGTAAATTTTTGGTCTTTCATATTAGTAAGAGCTCTCAAAAAGCTTCACGCTAATGAAGTAAGCTGACTGAATGCTAGCTTCCAATGCTCAAAGCTGGGCTTAATTTCAGCATGGAATGTCACAAAGCAGAACTTTGCAAAGGTCTGCTTTTCTTTTCATGAACATTGTATTCTGCTAAAGAAAATAACTTGAGTAGAAGGCACCAGTCAGCTAACTAAAGTACATCTGTCACAAAGCGACAATTCTGTGCTATCTGCATGTGTGGTTTCTTCATCTGCAGAACAAAATCACACTATCTTCCACAGAAATTGCCTTTACCCAGGGGCCCAAAATAACTTAAACTAAGACATAAACATCATTGAAAATGTATGCCCAAATTTACATGTATTTTTGCTTTTTGCCTGAAATAAGGTCTAAACTTTTCTATTATATTCTCCAAGGGTCAGTGACCCCACAATGGCTAAGAACCACTGCTCTAAAGTCTTTTATAGCTCTAAAATTCTATTCTACCTATTTATGCTAGAAAGCACAGGAGGAACTAATTCTAACTCGACAAGAAAAAGATTTTAAACAGGTATTTATTAAAATATTAACTTTTGCTATGACATGTGGCAATCACACAGATCTGGAATAAATATTTAAAAAGTAAAAAAACACACGGGTTGTTTTTCAGTTGCTTTATGACTCACTTTTCTTAAAGTAAAACATATTTCAGGTTAGGCAACTCTAACCTGAACACACTCTCTATACATTTAAAATTTAGTTGTTTTCTTTATGCATGTAAGGGGCCACAGGTCACTGGGGAGACTGTCAATTTACCAAGCTCATTTGGAAGTACTATGCTTATTAATAGTTCGCTTCTGATTTTGCCAGAACAAAATTTCTAACTACCCTGGATTTATCAATAGTATTAAAAAAAAAATTTCCAGCAACAAAATTTCTAACTACCCTGGATTTATCAATAGTATTAAAAAAAAAATTTCCAGCCCCTGTCACAACTGTTTTAACTATTCCCATTGATTTAAAAACTTCTGGCTTAATTATCAGTTTTAATTATTGTCCTATTTTTTCCTAATTGGCTTTCTTGATATCATGCAGTTAGATACTAAAATAAAGATATTTGTTGATTTCTCAAATATTAAATTTTAAGCAAATGATTTTTAAGTCAACTACATTAACTGTAAATTCAGTCTCTGGAGCCAAAATAAGTTGTATCATCATATTAACTGCCCTGCATGGCAGACTCACTACTTACACATACTTACATAAAAAGAGCAATTCCAGTATTAGCCATGGCATAAGAAAGCCCAAGGATTCCACTGCCCACAATCGCATTGCTCAGATTAAATACTGACATTCCAAAGGAAGTAGTACCTGGATGCTACATAGAGGGAAAACGATAACCAAACATATAACAATAATTAAACGGAGAAAACCAGCTTTGGGCAAGTTAGATTTGATATCTAAAAGTAAAACTATTCTTTTATCCATAATGCCACACACACAAGAATTATTAATTTTTAACTTACAAAATCTGTTTCATACTTCTTTTTCCCCAAATTCGATTCAAGCAAAAAGTTCTGGTTTTCGGGATCTACATCTGCATAATGGCTGCGAAAAAAAAAAAATTAAGTTGGATTTAAATATACAATGGAATGCTTTAAGGCAAAGCAGCCCTTTAGTTGATATACATCTTTATTTAAATGAGTATTAAATAGGAGTTGACTTTCACACAAGATAGCGTCAGTACAGTGAGACAATCGGATACTCTCTCTAAATGCTACAGTAAGTTAAATCATCATAAGCAGAGTCCTACAATCTACCCGTTTTTAAAACTGCACACAACTACTCTCACCTCACCTTTTCAGAGCAGCTTGCTTGGTGGGATAGGAGTAGTTGAAGTCGCTGTTGGAACTGTAACTGCTGCTGTCCTCATCCGGGGAAATATTGAACCTTCCCATTTCGGCTTTCTTCATGCTGGGAACCGGGAGGAATCAGATGCTGCGAGTAACACTGGGCTCCTTTTGTCCTTGCTGGTGAACCGGCCCGCGCAGCTGCCTGCGAAGGTACAGGCGGTGCGTCAAGACCGCAGCGCCCGCCCCCCCCGCCCAGGTCACGTGACGCCGCCAGGCGGCGCAGCACGGCTTATTCACTCTCGGCCAGGCGAGTGGAAAAGTACCAGCCGAGCGCGAGGGGCGGGGGCGCACCGAGGGGCGGAAAAGTACAGACAGCCGAGCTGCCGAGAACAAAGATGGTCCCAACGCGGCGCCGCGCCTGCCGAGGCCCGCACCCCCGGACCCCGAGGCCTCTCAGAGGATTTTAGCAATTCACCCTCTCCGTGACTCCAAGTCTGAGAAAGGAGTGCAGGGGGCTCGGTTTTGCTCTCCCCCAGCCTCTTTAGTCGTGCACAAGCAGGCAGGGCACACAGCCCACCCAGGCATAGGTGTGCATGCCGCCTAGGTGAACAGCTCCTTGTTTCCTGCATTTGCAACAGTAGTGCCGCGTAACCCGTCCCCAGATGGAGAGGTGCCTCTGCGGCAGTTAGCCGACTCGAGGGGGCGGAAAAGGCTGACAAGTCCTCTGTCGAGCAGGGGAGAACGCCAGTTCCCAGGCGCTCAGCGGGTTTGTTTACACGAGCACGCCCGTGCCCTCGAGCACACTCGTCCACTGGCATTTGGCTAGCGAGTGCCTCGCCGAATGGCCCCTCCTATGCCCGGAAAAGAAACTGATGCAATATCGATCGCCGATTGTCAAACGTTCCCGGCCCGTCTTCCCCAATCGTGGCCTCTGCCACAATAAAAGCCCAAGCTCGCCTCTACTCCCCCAAATTCCAGACCCTACCTCCACCCGGACTTAATTTTTTTTATTGATGCAAGCCTCAAGACTTGCCGCAGCAGACCCGCGGGGCGGCCTGCCTCCCCTCCCCCCAACGGGAGAATGCAGTTCCACTCCTGGCGGGCACGCGGCCCCCAGCGCTGCGCCCCTCCCCTGCGTGGAGGGCGGCTAATCCTCTGTGGGCTGGGGTCGAAGGCGGGCCCGCCGACCACAAACGCCCGTCCGGGAGGAAATGACCCTCGCAGCTGCCTCCGCCTGCCGCTGCCCCTCCCGTACGCCCCTCCCCCACTCCCGCCCGGGTCCCGCGCCCTTTTCACAGACAACCCCGCGCGGTTACCTCAGTGGTCTCCGCTCCTGAACTCGGAATGTCACAGGAACACCTTCTGTGGGTTTTTCTCAGTCAAACAAAAATTGTAAAAAACACACACACAAAAAAACCACCCCAATAGGCAGGAAAAATAATCTTAATAAAAAAAGAAATGACAAGTTGCCCCCCCAATCGTCCGGCGTCTGCTGTCTCAAGGGGGAGGTGCGAGTGTGCGGGAACGCGTGGTGGGGCTACTGGCGGGGATCAGAAACACAGTGCTCCACGGCGGCAACGTCGCGCGACTCTGGAGCAGCTTGGGAGCTGCGGGTTATAGCGGCCGCCCGGACGACACGTCAGTGGGCGGGGACGCGGCCTCCGGGTGCCTTCTCTTTGTGTATCGACATCACCTGGGCTCCGCCCCCGGCCCGCCCGAGCCCGCAGGCCCAGGCCCCGCCCCCGCCCTAACTCGTTCCCCTCCCGCCGGGGCGGACTCAGGCGCCCGGCTCCGCCCTCTGGCAACACCCACCCTCCAGCAAAGCCAAATCTCACTTTCTCCAGTCCCTCGGTTAACCTGGGAAGAGCACTCCCGTGCTTCTCTCGGCCTATTCGTTTCAGCCCGAATTGGTGCCCAATTTATGCGGTTGTCTCCTTCAAATTCCTTTTGGTCCGTGCTACCAGCAGTCTTTGCATTCTGCTCAAGGGTTTTTAGGGACACATCCCACTCACTCAACCCTTTCCTGCCTGTTATTTTTGTGATTCACATGAGGGTTTTCTCTCTCAAACTTGGGCTAACATCGTAACATTGTCTCCATGGTCTGTTTCTGTTCTCGTTCTTCTCCATCTAGACCTGCTTTCACTCTTCAACACTAAGCCTGATTTAGGTGCCTTGGCAGCATCGTTTCGGGATATCCTTTGTATATGAACATAGAAAACCTTACTAGGGGAAAAACTCCCTCCTAACCAGCAAACCAGACTCTTTGAAAGGGGGCCTGGTTTGGCCTCCGGTTGAGGAGAACGGCTCTTCTGAGGTGTAGGAGTCCCCAGTTTTCCCTTCGCAGACACATCTCACTCATTCCACCACTCCCACCCCAATTTTAGAGCACTTCTCTCTCCCTCCTCGCTTTTCTTTTCTTGAATTTGTAAAGGCACTGCCTCCGTTGGAATGCTGGTCTGAGAGACTCTCCCGAGCCTGATCCTTCCTTTCCAGTGGTGATGTGGTCTCGCTGAGTCCGGCAACCCGGGGGCCCTTACGCAGTGGAATGCTCCTGCTACCGGAAAGGCAGGATCCGTCCCTTGCTGGAAACAAAAGGCCCCTTATGAGAGATAAATGTTTGTTGAATGAATGAATAAACAAATGAGTTTGACCTACTGCTCTCTTCCTTTGGGGAACGTGGGAGAGACTGAGCTGGGCATAGAGGAAAGGGTTGAGTGTGATCACAATTTTTGCTTTCAATATTTTCCCGAGGAAATTTGTACAACTATTTCCGTGGAACGTGAGGCTGCGGGTGTCCTGGGCCTGCACCAGTGTTCATGAGTGACAAGGGAGGACCCGATTTCCCCTTTACACTCCTATGGTCCCCACCCCTTTTACTGGTCAGACTAGTCTTACCTAAACACTACTGTTTTCCTGCTTTAGTGCTCAACTTACCCTCACCATCATTCAAGCTTCTTCATTGAACCGAAGGAAATCCTCCCTCAGCTTTGATACCTTCCTTCTCATGCCTCTTTTTGCATGTACTATTTTCTAAGCCATGTGTTTGCAAGACGTTTGAAAATCCGAGTTGTCTCGTACTCAAAATTATTCAAGTTTGTTTGTAGTCTTGTCTCTCCAGGAAGACTGAACTCCTGAAGGTAGGTTTGGCATCTCACACGATCAAGGCTGAAAAAACTTACCTTCATTCCCTGATAACAACAATCAACTCTTCTTGTCAGGAGACCAATCTTAGTGGTGGGTTAGAGAGGACTCCCTGGAAGTTCCTTTTTATCAGGTTTCCACTGATAAAAATCAAAAGGTCTTAAAACACTTTTTCATCCAAGTGAGTCTCCTGCCCAGTCAGAGGTGCTAAGGAAGCCCTCAGGGTTATGGTTGACAAGTCACACTCTCACGAGATCCCTTGTCCTTCGGACTTTTTGGTGGTTTGTATAGCAACATTACTTAAGAGGACTTGTAAAATTCAGTGTGTGTGCATGTGTGTGTCTGTGTGTTGGGGGAGGGCTGTAATCTTGTTCTGACTTCTGTATGATAAGAATCTGAATGACAAAAAAAGAGGGGGGAGGTATTGAAAGGTCTGTTTTTCTATTGCTCATTTGATTCATGTTTTCAAAGGCCAATCTGAGGTGTATGATAAGAATCTGAATGACAAAAAAAGAGGGGGAGGTATTGAAAGGTCTGTTTTTCTATTGCCCATTTGATTCATGTTTTCAAAGGCCAATCTGAGGGATATCTGCTAACTCAAGTGGCTTCCAACTGAAGCCTGATGTGCTTAGGTTTTTGCTGTTATATTTGGGGCTAGAATGCATGGGACACTGTGCCCTTACCCATTTACTGGGAAACTATACCACCAAATGCTTGTTGGTCAGAAGTGCCACGATTTTGCTTTATTTCTAAGCTAATGTTTTAGAAGTACAGTATTTTTCAAACTGCAGAATGTAATCTAGAGATAGATAGTGATGAATTCAATGGATTACCTTGAGCTTTTTTTCTTTAATGTGTAGAATTAAAAATATCAGTATGCCTTATATAGCAATGCTAAGTTCTATTATGTAAAACTTTAATTTGGTATATAGATATATTCTGAGTTATGATATAAAATGTATTTCTTACCATGGGTTGGGATCAAATAATTTTGAAAGCTACTGAAAGCAAACCTATCTAAGACAGAAAAATAATCACAAATAGCAGTTGTCAACTCTGAACTTTCAGGAATGCATTGTCAAAATAGATTGTTAGAAGTTTTTATGAGTAGTTATCTTCTATAGAATTATGACCATTATCACCTGATAAAATATAGTGGTTTTATTTTCTGGGGGCTATAACAAGTCCTGTGGACATTCCCCAAACTAGTTGAACAGTTGGTCTTCAGGACGATCCTCAAAATTCTCTTTACCCAGCATTTCAATTTCCCTGAAGTAGGCTTAACTGTTAAATTTGCTTCTCTCTACCCTCCATTTCCAACTAATTTTGTTTTCAGGTTGGCTTTCACAGCTTTCTTTGATCTGACCCTAGCCTATAGTTCCACCCTTATCCCCCATTATTCCTTGTGGTAGCCAGCTTCCAAGATGACTCCCAAGGAATCCCACCTCCTGGTATTTGTGCCCATTTGTAATCCCCTTTCCTCGACTATGATTTGGACCCAGCAATGTTCTTCTATTAATCAAAAGTGATTGTATGTCACTTCTAAGATTAGGTTACAAAAAGACTCTGGCTTCCAACTTGCTTTGTCTTGTACTCTTCCTTATTTCCTTTGGGGGAAACCAGCTTGTGAACTGTCCTGTGGAGAGGCCCACATGGCCAAGAACTGGTGTCTCTGGCCAGAGCCAGGGAAAACCTGCAGTCTACCCAGAGTCACATGAGTAAACTTGGAAGCTGACCTTGCCCCATTGACCTAGAGATGACTGCAGCCCCAGCTAATACCTTACTGAGAGGACCCAGCTAAGTCCAGTCTGGATTCCTGACCCACAGAATTAAGATATGATAAATATTTATTGTTTAAGCCACTGAATTTTGCCATAGTTTATTACTCAGCCATAGATAACTTAATACATTCTCCTTCATATACCTTTATGCTTTTGCCAAAATATATTGCTCAGTGTTCTTAATACAAACCATTTTCCATTCAAACTAGTCCCACTGCTTGGAGTGTTCTTACATCCTCCTCCCTGCCATTACTGTAAATCTAAACTGTCTTTCTTTTGAGGCTCAACTTAAACACTTCACCTGTCATTAATTTTTTTTTGTCTGATTCATTTGGAACTGATTCTATTTGAACTCTACGCTTTATAAGTATCTTTTTGTGTCACTTTTTGTGTTGTCTGTGTACTAGATTTTGTGTTAGGGTTTTTAGAAGGTAAATTCTGTCTGTCTACATCTAGCCTAGTCACCTGTAAAAGGAAGGTACTTTTTCAGTATATGGATAAATTCAATACATTTTTTCTTTATAGTACCTATTACCATCTGACTTATATTTATTTATTTACTTCTTTATTGTTGGTCTTTCTCACTAGAATGCAAGCTCCATGAGAGCAGGAGTTTAATCTGCTTTAGTCACTGTTAGCTCCAGCACCTAGAACAGTGCCTGACAATATATTTTTGTTGAATGAATAAATGTAGGAGTGAACAGTTTTGAGTTTTTCTAGGAGCAGGAGAAAATATATTATCTAATACAGGTCCCCCACCCTCACCCTCATCCAAAAGTAAAGCATACCTAAGAAACCTTTTGTAAGCCATTATGGCATAAAGCAAAGAAGCAATTACCATAAATTTATATGCTGATGCTGAGTGTAGTTCCCAGGGAAGGAGCTTGGCAGTGCCACTCTTGCTGCTCAGGGTGTGTAATGCCTCTGTAACCGCTTGCTGCAAAACAAATGTCAAAATCTATTTTTACTTTTCACCTTTTCTCATAAAAGTAAAATCCTCTTATGATTTATTTTGGTTAGTGAAAACAGGTACTAATGTAGGTCTTTCTAAAAGTGAAATGGAGTAAGGCGAACTTTTGAAAAGTGGGAATACCTGTATGTCTAAAGGACATCTATTTCATCCCTTATTGGCCAAAGCAGAACTCTTGATTTCCCTAGCAAAACTGTTCTTCTCTTAATTTTTACAGTTTAAAAAACTAACATCGCCATTCACGAAAGAGTTCAGTCCCCAGACCAGGGAGTCATCTTCAGTCCTCCTTTTCCTCACAGATCTAATCTATCAGCAAGTATTAAGGGTTCTGCTTTTAAATATATATCCAGGATCCTGCCATTTCTCACCATCTTCATTGCTCTGGTTCTAGTCTAAATGACTGTCACCTCTCTCCTGGATCACTGCAAAAGCCACAGTCTAATTCATCTCTGGGCTTCCATCCTTGATGCTCATAGTCTGTTATCCACCCAGCAGTCCAAAAGATCTTCTCAGAACATAAATCAAATCCCTTGCTTAAAGGGATAAATTATTTCCCTTACTTAAAGCCCTCCAGTGCCTTCTAATTGCAATCAGAATAAAATCCATATTCCTCACTCACCATGGCCTTCCCATGGCCTTGCCTACTTTTTCAACCTTATCTTCTATCATTCTTGTCCTTTTCACCATGAACTATCCACATTGATCTCTCTGTGCCTAAAACAGTCTAAGTTATTCCCTGTACAGGGTTCTGCACTTGCTGTTTCTTCCACCTAGAAATCTCCTTGCCTATATTTTTGTGTGTCTGCCTTCTCATCACTTAGATTTCAGCTTATATGTCACCTCCTTGAGAGAAAAAAAATCTTCCTTGACCATCCTGGCAAAAGTTACCCCTTTCATGCTATCTCCATTTCCCCACTGTCCTATTATATTTTTATTGCTTTTTTTTTTTTATGAGTTGAAAGCATATTATTTAATCCTCTATTTCTTTGCTTATGATCTCCTTCCCTTTCCTGTATCTTCCCTCCTAAACCCCTTTCTGGCAAGTTAACTCTGTGAGGAAAAGTCTTTTGTTTTGCTCATCATTGAGTCTTCAGTGCCTAGAACAGTGCCTGATATACAGAAGTTCAATAAGTGTTAGTTGAAAGAGTACATTTAACTTTATCTTTCAGCACCTAGCACATAATAAACTGAATGAAAATCTGTTACCATGGCTTGATGGTGGAAAGGACAGGTTTTTCTTGAGCCACAAGTATGAGAATTAATTCCAAGACTTGCTTTCTAATGGCTTATTACCTAATATGAGCTTTTGCTATGAACACAGCCTGACGTTATCATCCAATGTTATTCAAAATACAAGTATGGACACTGACATTATGGAGAAATAGTGCAATTCTACCACCCCACTCCAACATCCCTCTTCAAACCACACCCTTCCCTTTATTCCAATGACTTTCATATTGTCTTAGCATTAATCTCTCCCAAGTTCTTCAACAAATTCCTCTCTCTACTCTTTTTTATTCTTCTTATCAGTTTGCATATTTTATTCTTGGGATTATGTTTAGTAGGTGCTCAACAAATGAAGCGTTGTATTTTATCTTAAAAAGGCATTTCACAAGCCCAAAGCAATAGTATTAATTCTGTGAGCACCCTCGTAACTGGCATATTTTTCTAGTGTTGAAAGATACTCTATTAGGTAGCAATTGCTGTGTAACAAATTATTCCAAAACTTAGTGGCTGAAACTCTCAAAGCTACTGATCAGACATTCGAGGGTTGTTCAGTTGTGTTTTGGTTTAAAGTTTCTTACTGAGGTTACAGTCTGCTGACAGATATGTCTACAGTTATCTAATGGCCTGACTGGGGCTGAAAGATCTATTTCCAAGGAAACTCTCTTACATGCTAGCAAGTTGGAACTGCCCTGTTTTGGTTCCTCTCCAAGAAAGCTTCTCCACAAGCCTGATTTAGTGCCTTACAACATGGCAGTTGGCTTATCCCAGAACAAGTGATCCAAGAGAGATCAAGGCAGAAGCTGTAATGCCTTTATAAACTAGCCTTGGAAGTCACATTTTATATTTCTGCCATATTCTATAAGTCACAAAGGCAAGCCCTGATATAACATAGGAAGGGACTCTACAAAGACATCAACACCAGGCAGTGAGGATTTTGGGGGCTTTCCTAGAGGCTTTTTACCATGGAGAGGTTGTCAGCAGCAGAAAAATTTTTACTGCAAGAAACACAATTTGCAATTAAAAATGGCTTAAATAATAAGGACACTTTCTATTTCATCTAATAGGAAGTCTACATATAGGATAGTCCCAGGGTTAAGTCCCAGGGCTTTGATAATCTCCTCAAAGACTAAAAGCTCACCATCTTTTCATTCTGACATCTTCGGCATGCGGAGATGTCTCTTTGTCAGGGTCACATGTTGGATACAGTGGTTTCGGGGGTCATATGCAGACAGACCCATATCTGCTAAAAAAGAATGATGGAATGTAAATTTCGTGAGTTAATTTTATTATTAGAGATAGCATTTCCTGGAAGTACTACTGTAGATGTCTCAGATCCTATTGGCCAGAATTAAGTAACATAGTCATGCACAAAAAGCACATTTTATTGTGAATCCAGATGTGAGCAAGCATTAATGTTTTGTAAGTGCCACCTCATTTCTTAGCCAGAAATGAAAAATTATGGTACCCACAGAAATTGAACCTTAAAAAACAATTAAAAAATATTTAGTTTTACATTTTAGTATAAACATGTTCCGTTCTGTCAGGACTGCAGAACTTACCAGACTATAACTATTCTGTTTCTCTCACCTCCTCCCCAAATTAAGGGGAAAGGAATGGTTTGACTAATGACCTTTTGTGGTATTTACCCATTGGCCTTTTCATGTGACCCTGTAGTCCATATTTCTTGGTGCGGTACATGCTAATGAATGTGAACAAAACTGTCATAAAGATGAAGAATTTATTGACCATGGTTCTTTCACTGGATAAACTGACACCTGCTAATCAGCAATAGGTGGCTTGGAAGGTGAAATGTGAAAGCAAAATCACAGATTTAAGTTCTCACATATGTGCTTACAGGCTACTAAGAATGCACCAAGGTTATATTAAGGATCAAAAATTATGCTAGAAAATAAGATGTGTAAACTAAGTAAAAATTTTTATGTTTTATTGAATAATATACTATGCTCCATTCTTCTGAAAAATCAAAATGTTCAAACTTACAATTTTCCAAAATAGGGTGATTTTTAAAACCTTTATTTTTATGCTTGTTAGTGGTCTGTCTTCTTGTCCAAAAAAATGACAGCAACTGAATATGTTCTACTCAAAACACTCTTAGGCCACAATGGACTTACATGCCTGGCTTTCAGTTTCTGGATCTTTCTTTGCCCAGGGCTAAGATACTGAAATAGGGATTTATTAAAACTAACATACCTGCAATTCTGGTTCTTGGATGGAAAGCATTTTAATATCTGGGCTTGGTTCTGGGATCTTTACTCAGGTAAAACTCCTGGGGTTTTGGCTGCAATCTTTGGCACCTTGTGTCTGATTAAGACACCTGTATCGTTTCAAGTCACCTCATTTTGGGACACCTGGAGCTAATGCCATCTTTCAACCCCCCTCCCCAGTGACATCCACCAAGGACAGTCCAGAACCAACCAACCTGAAACTGTTAAAGGTTTTTCTTGAGGTGCAGCACGTGCGTAACATACCCCTTTTTTGTGAAATAATGTCAGAGTGGAGCCATTTGTCACCTCTGGTGGATGAGGTCAACAAAAGTTGCTGTCTCAGGAATAAATCTTATTCGTGGTTGGAAAAGCTAAGAGAGGAATGTTACGGGACAGAGAAAATAACTTATTTTCAAGGTGGTTAAGTGGGGGTAAGAAAAGACAAATGGGCCCTGTACATGCTTTGTTTAAACCACGACGCAGTGCGTTAAATGAGTAGAAGACACGACGTCTATCGGAACCGTCTTCCTCCTTAGTCTTACACTCCACAGGGAGGTCCGCGAGGTCCGCGTCAAGCAGATCTGTGGTGGCGCGGCTGAGGGGCTGCGGCGCCCCAAAGGCGACGGCGGAAGCGTCAGGACGCCGCGCCTCGCCTCTCAGGACGCCAGCCGGCTTCGCGCAAGGTCAGAGGCAAGAGCGCGCCGCGGCTCGGAGCTCTAAGGAGGAGCGCGAAGAACGCGAGAGCTGCCGGCCCGTGGAGGGGCGGTGCCTGCCAGGGCTCCTGCGGCAGGCGGTCCTGCGCAGCCCAGCTCTCTGGGTAGAAAGGAAACTCTGCAGTTGGTGTGAGGGGGCGGAGGCCCGGGGGACGCAGGGTTTGGAGTTCGAAGCGGGAACGGGGCGGGGCCTTCGGCGCGGAGCCTCAGTAGGTCTCCGGAAATTTCCACTAGGGTTCTGAGCGCCCCGGCCGCCGAGGCGCAGTCCGGCCCTGCGCTCCTAGGGCCCACGAGATGGTGATTCACCAGGCGCCGCCTCGGGAGCAACGGGAGGGGAAGAGAAGGCGGGGCTTGGGGGAGGGGGAGAGGAGAGAAGTGATCGGCAGCAGGAAGGCAAGCAAGAGAGAACAGGAGTGGGGAGACGAGAGGCGCGGAGACGGGGGCATGTGCTCGGGCCCCGCAGCTCGGGAGCCGGGGCCTTGCCTACAGCGGTGTTGCCTAGCCTCGGCCGGCTGGGACGCTGCCGAGTACGCACGCGCCTGCCGTGCTCGCCCGCAACGTGGTAAACCTGGAGTCCTGAAACGTCAGGGCTAATTCCGGGGTGCTTTGAAGAAAGCCGTCCGGGGGCGGGGGGGTGGTACTTGGAGGTCCCGCGCAGTTTTCGCGAAAGCGCCAGGCAGCACACGCATGCCTTGCATGGGACAGTGCAGTCTGGAGAAACTGTCACGCCCTGTTGGCATCTGGCCGGGCTAGTGTACGTGGCTCCTTACGTGGAGAATTGTGACTGGAAAGCGTGAACCGGAGGGATGGACGAAAGGGTGAGGCCTTGGCCCATCATCTGTGCCCTTGGGGGCCCAAAGACACTAGTATCTGTCAGATTAAATGCCCAGACCCACGAGGAAATCGTTGAGGCTTTGGCGGACGTGTGAGATTTGTGCAACTGGTTCCAGATGGCTTCCCGTTAAGACTTGAAAATCGGCATGCCAAATATTTCCTATTCTTTGTTGAGTAGATTACACAGACATCCCGCCCATATCTGCTCTTGTAAGGAAACGTTCCTTGCAGTAGTCCGACTGTTTCATCCCTTGTGTCCTTTTAGGGTCTTTCTAGTAATTGACCTAAAATTCATTCCATCAAAGTCTTGGAAGCTAATTAAAAAATACTAGCCCGAATTAGAAAGTTAAGCTCTTTGTTTACCAACCGCGTTGCCTGGAAAGACAGAGTTGTGGGTTTTCTCTTCAGGTTTCCTCACAGCCTCTTCTGGGGTCTTTTTCTCTCAATCCCACCTTGAAGCAAAAGTACCGACTAGAAAATGCTGCTGAA